CAGGAATGCAACTGTTCCAGCTCATGTCCCTGTTGCAGGACAGACAGAATTTGAAAACAGGTGATATAGAAGAATCCTTACTATAACATGAAGCAAAGGCCTAAGAGAAAGAAAAATGGAGTCTCACTTGACTTGAGGCTACATGGCATAGACCAAGACACCTTCTGCCCTGCAAAGAAAAAGAAGGAAGACAGAGAAATGAGTAAAAAAAAAAAAAAAAAAGGCAGCAATGTCAACCGAGGAAAATTAAAGACTAAGGAGTAAAGAAAATGAATAAGGTTTGAAATGAGACTGTAGGTCAAAAATGATGTCTTAATTAGACTACAGAAGCCCTGCCTTAAGCTGAAAGCAATTAACAGGAACTTTAGAATGGAAAATGTGTATCACCAATTGTATGCACAGTATGGGTAATATTAAAGACAAAGAAAATCTGAGTTTGAGTCCATGAGATGCATGCACATATGGACAGCACAGAGGAATGCACATATGGACAGCAGATCGTGAACTCTAAATTGCTTTAGTTTTTGAATGGTTCCCAGGTGGTTTATGCTTTAGTGTTTCATTGATTGAAATTAGAGCATGATTTTAAACTAATTTAATAGTACCAGTGAAAAAGACAGTAAGGGCACTCCTATTTCAATTAAAACCAGGCATATTCAATTTTAGTTTAAGTCATTTATGAAAATGGTTGAACTAAATCAAAGTAAGCATCTCAAACAGAAACAGGATTATTATATATGTTTGCCCTAGTTTAAGCCAGTTTTTAAAAAGCTAATGCACGCTTCCATGCAGGTAATATCTCAGTCATATTTAAGTTTTAGCATCTCTTTTAAGATAAAATATCAGATGTTCTTCCCTTCCAGGTGAAGCCACTCTCTCCATCTATGGTTAATTAATAGCTATAATTCTCTCAAATAGCATGAGACATTGGCACAGAAGTAGGATTTAGTAGTCTTCTGGACTTCTGGTTCTTTGCTCAAAATTAACAGGTCCAGGGTGTTCAAAATCACCATTCACACGAGACTCACCACAACCCCTAAGACAACACACCTCATACATTGCAATTGGTTGGGCATCTCAAGGGACTGTCAGTTTTTCTAACTCCACACACCTCCATGCAAAAAGATCAGATTACCAGCTGGTGCAAATCACCAGAGTTGCACTGAAGTCAGCTGAGAATGCAGGCCAGAACTTTAATGGGAGATTGCTTCTAATCAGACTGATTTAATTGTTTTTGCCTCCTTCACCACTGACTTCTTCACTGGCTCTCCTAATTTCAATCCCCCTGCTTTGCTTGCTTTATTTGTTTTTCAGGCTAAACCTTCTTCCTTCCATTCTGGCCTCTTTCTCTATCCCAATCCTCCTCACCAATATACCCCTCTCTTCCTCCTTTCACAAGTCCTTTTTCTTTTCAGATGCTTCAAAAACCACAACTAGCTAGAGTGAAAGTTAAAATAATTTACAAATCAACAGCATGAAGTTCTATATAAAACAAACCTGAGCAAATGCACAAGCTTATCAAATTTAACCTCTTGGCTGTATATTAAACTAATTAAGTTTAATAAAAAACATCATTTTTGGTGCCCCACCTTTTTATATGAAAATTATTTATAAAGTACATTCCTCATTTGGGGGACCATGTAGTTATACTGATAATTTTCATAATGGGAGAATGCTGAACATCCTCTACTTAGGGAATGGGCAAGCCTCAGGGGAGACTCAAAGGAATGTGGATGGTGAGATATGATATATGTGCACTGTGTTCTGCTCACTCACTCCCGCATTGTTCACAACACATACTGAAAAAAGCCATATACTGGGGGGGGGGATTGTATTTTATCCAGGTTTTACCCGAAGCTGCTCAGACAGAAGCTAGATAACAGTTTTTCAGCAGTCAGTGCGTAGAGATAAAAACCAAGTTAGCTGTGTGTGTTTTCATGCCAGTGCTCCCTAACATGGTGTACACCTTTCCTAAGGAAAAAGATAACAAAGCAAAGAAGTTCTTAGCAAGTTTGCTGCTATTTGATCTATAGGTGTAAATTTTCTCCTTCTCCTTGTTATAGCAATTGCAATGGAGTGCAGTTGTGAATAAACAACTATAATGCACTAAACAGATATACTAAATCAGACATTACCAACCAGGGTAATGGGGCAGCACCCTCAAGTACCATGAGTTCCTTTATGGGGTGCCATGGCACAATATTAGCACTATCAGGTGTACAAACACATACCCGATTCACAAGATAAACCCAGAAACTTCAAATATGAAACTATAGTGTCAAAGACACTATGACCTGTAGTGGTCTTTCTGAATTATTTGCTATAGAAGCACTATTACTTTTCCATAGTCAAAAAAAATCAGTGGAAGTGAACAGCTAGCATTTTCCAAGGGGTGCTTTGAGACTAACAAATGTGCCTTGCAACTACAAAGTTTGAAAACCACTGTACTGAAGGAATTATTCTCCACACAGTCTTTCCTAGATTGATATCTTCACAAAACCAAATTTATTAGGACTCTACAGAAGACTATGGCAACCTTTAGTCCGGTACAAGTAGACATATAGGTTTCTCGTGCAGTACTGACACACCAGTAACAAACATATTAAACAGAATATTCCCTACTGCAACTACAAAGTTTGAAAACCACTGTACTCACAGATTTTTTCTCCACACAGTCTTTCCTAGATTGATATCTTCACAAAACCAAATTTATTAGGACTCTACAGAAGAATATGGTAACCTTTAGTCCGTTATAAGTAGACATAGGTCAGATTTTTTCCATCTAATATCCAACCCTAGAATGTAACTAGAAATTTTGGAGGATAAGGGTACACTTTTTGGCTAACATAATACTTCTTGTTCACACGTCTTTTTCATTGCCAAGTAATAGAATCATTGTGAGACACATCAGTAAGACTAAGCATTGAATGTAAAAGATATTCCAGCTGTGTACTTTACTACACTTCTGTAGTTTATCCAACTGAGATTGCTATTACTCACATAAACGATACAACAGAAATCACTTTTTTCATAACTTTTTTTTCTTAAGGACACTGTAGGTTACAGAGCTCTACTAACAAAAGATGCAAAGATGACAGAACTGCTCAATGGCTATTTTGCCTCAGTCTTCACAATTAAAACAAACTCTGACCCCTAACCCCGACAGCTAATGAAACCCATGCAAATCATGATAAATGACTAGCATAACAGAAAGCTCTTAACAGTCTTGAGTGTAGGACCTGACTAAATTCATGCCAAGGTGCTAAAGAAACTGACTGAAGAAATCTCAGAGCCATTAGCTACAATAGTTGCCAAATTACGGAGGTCAAGTAAGATTTCAGAAACCACGGCTAAAATAGCAACCATCTTTAAAAAGAAGAAAAAGAACCCAGGGAAATTTAGACTGTTCATCTTGACTTCAATACCTGGGAAATTACTGGAGCAAATCTTAAAATAGTTTATAAATGGCTGAAGAAGGTGATCACTAATAGTCAATGTAGAGTCATTAGGAACAAGTCATTCAAAACCAACCTGATTTTCTTGTTCGCCAGGAAAACTTTGGAGGAAGGGAACACAACAGATGTAATACATGGGGACTTCTGTAAGGCTTTTGATATAGTCCCACCTGACAAACTGAAGAATCATTGAGACAGATAGAACTCTTGTCCCAATTATTTCTATAATTGGCTGAATAACTGTAAGCAAAGGGTAAGTATAAATGGATCAATGTCAGAATGGAAGGATGTTCCAGGGGCAGGGCAGTATTCACAGGGTCTGTTCTAAGTCTAGTGCTGTTTAACATTTTCATTAATGACCCGGATACCAGAATAAAGAGCTTCTTGTTCAGATTTGCAGGTGATACTGGGAAGACTTGCAAACACTTTGAAGGATAATACAGGAACTCAAAAGGATGCTACTGAATTAGAGAATTGGGCACTAGACAGCAAAATAAAATCCAACAAAGACAAATGTAGAGTGCTAGATACAGGAAAAAAACTATAAATGCATAAATACAGAATGAGAGATAATTAACTAGGGCATAAGGTTGCTGAGAAGGATCAGTGTGGAGTGGGGTGAGGAGCATTGGTGGATCACAGACTTAATAGGTGCCAGCAATGTGCTACGATCACCAAAACATAAAATTTTATTTTGTATTTCACTTCCAGGCATGTTGCATGTAAAAAATAGGAAATTATGTGCAAGTACCACTCAGCATTGGTTTAGGAACCAGTTGACTCTAGCTGAGTTTAGGCTTTGCATTTTAGGGAAGAGGTGCAGAAACAGGAAAGGAGCCAGAGGTGAACAAACAAGATGAAATAATACCTGGAATTCAAGCCATATGAGGATATGAGGAAAGGATGGGAAAACGAGGTGGGTTTATTTTGAAGAAAAGGGTGGACATGACATAAGTTTTGAAATACTTGAAAGGCTGCCATTCTGAAGAAACAGAAAAATTGGTCTCCCTTGATGAAGGAGACAGAACATGAGGTAATGGCTTTAAATTGCAGCCAAGTAGACAGACTTAGGTTAAATCTCAGAGGGGAAAAAAAACCCAAATTACTTCGTAACTGTCAGAGGAGCAGGAAGACAGAACAAGCTGCCCCTGGAAACTATGGACATTCCTTCATTGGAGGTTTCAAGATGAGATGGGATAGGCACCTATTTGAATACTACAGAAATAGCATATTGTGTTTGTGCAGGAGGTTGAACTAGATGACCCTTGAGGTCTCTTATAATCCTATGACATCCAATTTCAGGGTAAGATTAGATTCCTGGTTTAGGAAACTGAACATGGGATGGACAATCAAGAATAAGAACTCACAACACCTTCTGAAGCCTTTGCAACTCTCTATTTTAACTTTTCTACCGTATTTTCCTTAAATGTAAATGGAGGATAATCATTCTTCAACCTTTTCTCAGAGGGCTGATATGGAAACACCAGACAATCATGGAAAACGCCAGGCTTTTTTTTTTTTGCTACCATGGAAGAATCTTGCCCATGTTTGAATTCTATCTACTGTATTCTTTTTGCTTTTATTAATTTAATATCATTGCTAAGTTTACAAATAGGTATAGGCAACAAACTGGGATTTTTAATGTGCACAGATAGGAACAAGCCATGTACTCACTAGACTCTAATGGAGGATGGGAGCTCTCAGGGATCCTGGGAATGTCACTAAAAGATAAATATAAAAAATAGTTAGATTAAAAAAAAAAACCAGAACCAACTATCTACACATTTCTGGCATTCCCTTTCCAGACATCTGTTAATTTTTTTCTAACGTGTAGGGTAAGGAAGGGAAATTATTACACGGCATATTTGCCACTATTAACAAATAGTTAAACACACAACAGCTTTAACACTACACTACAGTTCGTCAAAATGATGAAAGAAAAACAATGAACAATATGAGTACTTTAATGGTAATACTGTGGCTAGATATTCCACAATATTTTTGCAAGAAAACATGATCAGTGTTAAAAAGTACTATAACTACTGATGTTTTTTATTAAAATCAAAACAACACAGATAGTATAACTCACTAGTAGTTTTTATACACACGTCTCAAGGAGCTTGCTGATTGAAATTGATGAAAATGTCTTACAATAATAAAGAGAAAAAAGAGATAATATGGGCAATGTTAAATAAGCAAAGACAACTATAATCATGCATTGCTTCAGAGACTAAAAGGTTAGCATGCAACATATTATAACTAAATATATATGGAGGCAAACACATCTTTGTTCATGCATGCATGCATGCATGTGCGCGCGCGCGCGCGCACACACACACACACACACACACACACACCTAGTTATACACAGTGAATGCAAATCTGATCTCAGTTATACAAGTTACAAATATAAATCTGGAATAACTCCACTGACATCAGATTTGCTCTAGCATAAAAAATTGATATTAATGTTTGGCTCTGTACTATTTGTTCTAACATTCACCAAAAATGCATTACAGAAGTAAGAAATGACTCTTACACTATAAATATTCATGAAACTGGAACAGGGAAATGGGAATAAAGTCCTTCAATGAGTCATTAAAAAGATTAACTACCCATGTAATATAGTCAGTAGTAGAAACTATAATATAATGTTTATAGCAAACTACTATAAAGTTCACGGCAAACCTACAAAAACTGGAGCTAAAAGTTGAGCCCAAGTGACTTAGGCTTGTAAGTGCCTACATCAGAAAGTAAAATAGTGCAATGCTGTGCTAAAACTAAATATGTTTTATATTCTGGCCCTTGGGCTGCTGAATGTCAGTGCCCTTAAAATCCCCAAGCTCCTTTGAAAAGCCCATCTTTAGGATAGGCTTTCTTTTCAATCTTGTTCCATCTAACCCCCTTCAGAATTGCCAGGAATTGACCCAATTCAGCTTTCATTTTATGTTGCAGTATGGAGTACATTTCTCTTGTGCTTAGTTTTGCAGTGCAAGTGCAATGTGTTCATTCCAAACTCGGGGCAAGAAAATAACATTTCCTAGTCTTTATTTTTCTAATTTCTGTTTGCTTGGCTAAGCAAGGCCAACTAACCGTACATTTTACATGGGCTTATATGAAGTTACATACGAATAGCCCCTCTGATTTTTTCCCATCTCTAAATTCTTACGATCTAGACTCCCTCACACCAGTACATCTGTGCCCCTGATGTGCTTATCCTTCTGGTGTAAAATTCAACTAGAATTTCTTCTGCAACAGTGTGTCACAACCCAATGATTTTTGGTGCCTCGGCACAATGGGATTTTCTTGTCACATGAGAGCCTCTTGCACAACGAGGGTTTTGCTGCACAGAGAAACCTCGGTGCAAGAGAGTTCCCGCCAATTTGCAGCCTTCTTTGCAGGGTGCATTTCTTCTTTGCAGGACAGAAATGCACGGTGCAAAGAGTTCCTGCTATTCGAATGCAAATTTGTGTCCCACTATTGGCCAGTGCTAAATTATTCACACATGGCGGCTAGTAATTGGCTCGCTGGCCATTTAAAATTTCGCGCGACTTCCACCCAAGTTGAAGAACTTTGAGCACGCTGCAGAGTGCCTCTAAAGAGATCTGACTTGCGGCTAGCTGATCGATAGACTGATCACCTATCGATCTTTCTTCCCGTCGCTGAGCACAATCCCAGACGTACCCTTTTCCCACCGGCTTGAATTGCGGACGGATTGACTGGCTTGGACCCCGCCAGCTGGAACAACCCGTGTGGTTGTTCAGACGACCGGACCACCTGCGTCGTGATTGCAAGTGGCGTGAGTAAAGTTTTTGCAACCGATAAGTTGTGTCTGCCTCTCCATTCACCAGCCTGCCCTAACGTATGAGCAATTTCTAACTCAACTCGAGTCGGCTCTGGC